ATAAACACCTGTGATCCCAGCACTGAAGAGGTGAAGGAAAGAGGTCAGCCGTGGATTGCAGGCCATTCTGGGCCACCAGTGAGACACAGTCTCAGAAAATCAAAAGTGGAGCCTGGAGAGGTGAGGGCTCAGAAGTTAAGAGCACTTACTGTTCTTACAGAGGATCAGGGTTTGGTTCCCAGCATGCGCGCACACACGAGTGCACACACACACACACAGTAACTAACAACTGTGTTTCAAACCCTCTTCTGGCATCTGCATAAATATACAAATGTGTATAGGCCAAACACCTAAAAACATTTTAAGAAACAAAAATAATAGCAACAGTTAATATACAAGACCCAGATTTTGTTATTTAGTGTATGAATAGTTATTAAATTTGCAGGACAATTTTGGGATGGTCTGTCTTAAACTATAGGCTCAAATGACTCACACAAAATTCCTTTTGCAGATCTGTGAGTTCCCTCACACAAGACAGGGTGTCAAGGATGCTAGGAAAAAGCAACAGAAGGTGGTATTAGCACCCAGAGAGGGAGAGACACAGAGAAAAGCCCAAAAGTCAGAGAGGCACATTCACACACGAAACAGTTGGGGAGATGGAAAGAACGAGAAAGTGACCAAGAAAGACAAAGGGAGAGAGGCAGAGATGGGGAGAAACCGAAACGACCTATAGCCCGCTCATTGCTTCCCGGGACAGTCAAGTTTCAGGAGGAGCGAGGACAGAGTCAGGGACGAACTAAAGGAGACCAGAGCCTCAATGACAGAACAAGACATCTAGGAAAGGCTGCAAGTGTGTGGCTGCAGACACACAAAAACCTAGGTCAAGACACAAACAAAACACCTCTAAACAGGTACATTATGCTTAAAAGGGTGCTTAGGTGCTAAAGAAAAAAATGGATATAGACAGTCATAAAAATAGTTTAAAAATAATAAAGTCTAGCCGGGCGATGGTGGCGCACGCCTTTAATCCCAGCACTCGGGAGGCAGAGGTAGGCGGATCTCTGTGAGTTCGAGACCAGCCTGGTCTACAGAGCTAGTTCCAGGACAGGCTCCAAAGCCACAGAGAAACCCTGTCTCGAAAAACCAAAAAAAAATAATAATAAAGTCTTTAAAGAAAGAGTAAAGTAATATTCAAAAATAAGTCACATAAGGATTAAAACTATTCTAACACAGGGAGTTTGAACCCTTTATGGTGCTTTGTTAATTTTTAAAACACTAATGACAGAAAATGGCAGCTTCTGGGAGACTTTGGGTTATAAAGGGACCACTGAAATTAAGCCAGTCTGTATACTGTAGAGAGGTCTTGACTTCAAAATGGAAGTCGGGAAATGTATTGCATTGGGGGAGAGGTGGTACTTTTGTTTCCATGGGAAATAAAAAGCTAGGAATTCCTTCAAACTTAATAATGTCAGATTTGACCAGGGAGACCTCCTGAGGATCTTGGCTGCAGACATGAGGGAGGAAGCCAGGAAAGCCTGCAGGACAGGTGGTATGTATGCTGATCCCTCTGCATGGGAACAGCTCTGAGACTGGATGAAACATGATAAATCTTGTTGGCTACAGAGTCCTCATGACTTATTATTACATGTCATCCTTTCATGTGGCATGGATAGAGGTTTGGTTATGCAATTCAAACAAACTTATAAAGTTGACAGATGTCTTTTACCTGCTCAAACATAAAACAGAAAATCATCTTTAGCTGACTTATACACACTGCACATTGATTACTTGTGTAGATACAGAAATATATGTTACCTTTAAAAGTTTGTGTGTTTTGGGGGCTGGAGAGATGAATCAGTGGTTAAGAGCACTGACTGCTCTTCCAGAGGACATAGGTTCAATTCCCATCACCCACATGGCAGCTCACAACTGTCTGTAACTCCAGTTCCAGGGGACTTGGCCCCCAAGACAAAACACCAATATATATAAAATAAAAATAAATGAATTTTTAAAAAAAGTTTGTGTGTTTTCAAAACAAAAGGATCAGACACCAATAAAGACAAATAGCCCAGGTGATCCAGCCTCTCAGAATGCTTCTGTTGCAGTTTTCCTCAAAAGTCTGCATCCAGAACAGCTTCAAACCTGCTAGGTGAGCTGGTTCAGCTTCACACACTAGTCTAGCCAGGACTTCAGTTAAACCTGCACCTTCCCACTACAGAAAGACTGAACAATAAACGATACAGCTAGCTCTCCCAGGACTTGGCCATTATCTGAATTTTCTCAGGATCCTGAAAGGAAAAAGGGAAGATATAGAGATGATAAGATCAAAGGGTAGATTATTGATTCTACTTATAAACTAAAAAAACAACTGCTAGTCTCAAATTCTTTACATTGGTATGGATTTTTAATATATTGATACCAATTTAAAGTTATTTTGCTATTTTGTCATACTATATAAGGTATCTATGCAGCTCATTTAAAAATGTAATATGTAATTAAGAAATACAAGTTAGTAGTTAGTCATTTGTTTTCTTTTTTTATTAATTTTTCCATTAAAAAATTTACACTTCCTCCCCTCTTCCCATTCCCCTCCTGATCCCCCAATCACTCTCCTCCCTCTCCCTCCCTCCTTAAGAGAGGGCAAGGAACCCTGTCCTGTGGGAAATCCAAGGCCCTCCCCGCTACATCCAGGCCTAGGAAGCTTTGCATCCAAATAGACTAGGGTCCCAGAAAGCCAGTACATGCAGTAGAAACAAGTCCCAGTGTCTTTATCAATGGCTTCTCAGTCGGCCCCCATTGTCAGCCACATTCAGAGTCATTTATATGCTTTCAAGATCAAATAACAATATATTCTAGATAGACAGATGGTCTTTAAACACCTCAGAGACCTACAGAATATGACATTTAAGATGTTTTAATAACACAAGGCTTTACATGACAGTGAGATACATCTGCTCCTGGAAGCAATGATTTACTTCAAAAAAGGATGATGGGCAGTGAAGAACCTTTTCTTGTGGCAAAGCTAGCCATTTGGGCAAGAAACTGCTCTAGCCTCAACTGCTGACAGTATGCTGTCCAAACTGAACAAGCAAGATACAAAGGTGACTGTCAAGCTTTGCCAAGACAGGGTAGGACAGTCCTTTCAAGTTCCTGCTTCACAAAATGTCAGATATTCTGGGCCTGTAGGCTGAAGATGGAGATGAATGCCCCAACATTATAGAAGAACCTTGGGTGATTGTCCAGAAAACCAGATGTCTGACATTTCTTAGTTTTGGAAGTTGCCTGTTCTGTACTTTCTGTTTAATCAGGTAATATTATGTACTTCTCCGGTCTTTAATGAGGTTAAAGACTAGATAGTTATACAGTTTTTCTTGTTACCAAATTCAGAAAAGAAAACTTACATAAAAGATATAAAGTTGTGAGACATAAAAACTTAAGTTGCTTATCAAGAAAACAATTTAAAGCCTAAAAAGATAGTTTGGGGTTGATAATACAAGTTAAGATGAAAAGTAAATTAGGTAAAAACTTTTGGCTCACCAAGATATGATTGATAATAAAATAATTTCTCCAAATTTTCCAAATACAAATGAACTGGACATTATAGATATAATTCTCACTTATTAATTGTTCTTACTATATATAATTTTATTGTATTAGAGTTAAAACCTTTTCTTTTTATTTAGACAAAAAGGGGAAAATGTTGTGGAATATTTGTATACTGTGTGAATATATATTGCTGCGAATGATTTAATAAAGAGCTGGCAGGAGATACAGGTGGGACTTCCGGGTAAACAGAGGAAGTAGGAGATGAATTGAGGGACAAAGGAGATGCCAACGAGACATGGAGGGAGTCAGACATAGAGAATGAAAGAAAGGTAAAAAGCTACATGGGAAAGCATAATTAATAAAAGCAGGTTCATTTAAGTTATAAGAGCTAGTGGGACAAGCCTAAGCTTTCATAATTAATAAGTCTCTCTGTTGTTGTTTGGGAGCTGGCTGGTAGGACAGAGAAAGACTCATTACACTATCCAGATCAGACTGGTCTGTGAGCATGTCTCTGTAGGAGATTGTTTTGCTTGTGAATTGATGTAAGAGAGCCCAGTCCACTGTGGGTGGCACCGTTACCCACACAGATGGTCCTGGGTTGTTTAAGAAAGTTAGCTAAACATAAACCTCTGTGACCCAGAAAGCAGCATTCCCCCATGGTTTCTGCTGCACTTCCTTGGCTATGAAGTGAGTTCCCTGGCCAGAAGAAACGCTGTGTGGAGTAGCAAACAGGCCTGTCTTCAGGTTCTCTCTTGAGTTCCTACCCTGACTTGTCCTCAAGGATAGACTGTGACCTGTAAGCTGAAATAAACCCGGTCCTTCCCCGAGCTGCCATTTGTCAGAGTGCTTACCACAATGACAGAAACCAAATTAGAAAACTGTGGTTCATCCTGGCTTTGCGTAAGCAGTACTCTCTCCTGGAAAGCCTTTGCCCATCATAGCCCCTCTCAAAGCAAACCCTGAGATGGGACTCTATGTTCTTCCTCTTTGAGGAGGCCTCTGGGGAGGAGCTGACACCCCTCCAGCTTCCATCCAGCCCAAAAGCACACAGGAAATGTCCCCAGGCTGGGCTGTCAGGTTGTGGCCTCATCAGACAACACAGTTTTGCTCCATCTCTACTTTGTCTCAGCACACCTGGAATTTGCCTCTGGGGAACCCCACCCACACCTACCTGAATATACAAACCCCGAAGAGAGGTACAAGGGGTTGTGGAGGTAGTCAGGAGAAAGCAGGGTCCATTTGCCTAGAGATACTTTGGTCTGACTGGTCACAGAGTGACACACCCCACAGGAGGAGGGAGTGGCAATCACCTGGCAAAAGGCATCTTTAGAGAAATCCGGCCTCTACCTTTGTCTCCATTACACCTTGAAGAGTAGGCTTGGAGGCTGCAGCAGCCTTTTCTTTTGTCCACTGTGGGCCTGAGAAGACAGACATTCTCCTGTGGACCCCAGGCCCATCGCTGAGTGACCAAGCCTCGGTGTCCTGCCCGCTGCTGTGTCCACACAGCCGCAGTCATGGATAGGTTCCGGATGCTCTTCCAGCACCTTCAGTCCAGCTCGGAGTCTGTGATGAATGGCATCTGCCTTCTGCTGGCTGCCGTCACAGTCAAGATGTACTCCTCCTTCGACTTCAACTGCCCCTGCCTAGCACGCTACAACGCCCTCTATGGCCTGGGCCTGCTGCTCACACCTCCTCTGGCCCTCTTTCTCTGTGGTCTCTTGGTCAACAGACAATCTGTGGTGATGATGGAGGAGTGGCGCCGGCCAGCGGGGCATCGGAAGAAGGACCTGGGCATCATCAGGTAGGGTCCCACACCCCTCTCTACTACCCAGGGCAGTTGATGCTCTCAGGTATACTCCCCAATGCCCCAGATAGTGATTGACAGCTAAGGATGCTGTGCTCATTTTCAGTTACCATCTGGAAATGTGTGTGGTGTGTGTGTGTGTGTGTGTGTGTGTGTGTGTGTGTGTGTAGGTCAGAGGACAGTAGTATTCGGGAGTCAGTTCTCTCCTTCCACCATATGGGTTCTGGGGATTGAACTCAGGTCTTCAACCTTAGCAAGTGGCCCTACCTCCTGACCTGTCTTGCAGATCCCGAAAATATGTATTTTTGTTCCTATCATTTTTCACCTTTCCATGGCCACTACTGTAACCATAAGAATGATTCAGGGTTTCTAAGAATTACCAGGGTCACATCTAACCCATAGCGTGCATAAAAATATTTTGTTTGTTTGGTGCACTCAGCAAGAGGCAGCTGCTTCTTTAAAGGCCGTATTTCCTTTCTGGGAAGCTTCTTGAGACTAGAACCTAGCCTGTTGTCGCCATATGTATTCAGGGTCTGGGACATGGATACAAATCAGCAGGTGAGGCTTCGCAGTTCCTAATGCCCCCCAGCTGGGGCCAGGGTCCACTGTGCTGAGCACCTTGCAGAAGAGGCTTCTCTAAGTTCGCTTTCGTCAGCCCTGGCTCTGTGCCTTCAGCAGGTTGAATCTCTGACACATAGACGCTGAGAATCTTGGCCAAGGGCTGACCATGTAGATCAGTTGGTGGAAGGCTTGCCTAGAATGCACCAAGGCCTGGGTTGAATCCCAGCGCTGCATCCCCCAGATAGGATGGCTCATTCCTATAATCCCAGAACTCAGGAAGGAGGCAGAAGGATCAGGAGCTAAAGGTCATCCTCATCTACTATACAGAGAGTTCAAGGCCAAACTGGGATCCATAAGACCTTGCTGAGAGAGGTAGGGTGGGGGGAGAATACTAGAGAGACAGAACATGAGTGAGAGGCCCTAACAAGACTGTCACAGCTTGGAAGAGGCCACGCTGCGAGCCCAGTTCGCCCTGACTCTAACTACATGGTGTTTCTTGGCTTTCAGGTACATGTGTTCCTCCGTGCTGCAGCGAGCTCTAGCAGCTCCTCTGGTCTGGATCCTGCTGGCCCTCCTTGATGGGAAGTGTTTCGTGTGTGCCTTCAGCAACTCCGTTGACCCAGAGAAGTTTCTGGATTTTGCCAACATGACCCCCAGCCAAGTACAGCTCTTCCTAGCCAAGGTACCCTGTAAGGAGGATGAGATGGTTAAAGACAGCCCTGCCCGCAAGGCTGTGTCTCGATACCTGCGGTGTCTGTCACAGGTAAGTGGAGTCCTGCCCAGGCCTTGATTCCCTCACAGATACTGTGCTGGCTAGTTTTATATCAATTTGACACAAGCTAGAGTCATCTGGGAGGAAGGAATCTCAATTAAAATACCTTCATAAGATGCACTATAGACAAGTCTGTAGGGTATTTTCTTAATTAATAATGATTGATGTAGGAGGGTCCAGTCCATTGTAGGTGGTTCTACTCTTGGCCTGGTGATGCTAGCTTCTATAAGAAAGGCTCAGCAAGCCATAGGGAGCAAGTCAATAAGCAGCACCCCTCCACGCCCTCTGCATCAGCCCCTGCCTTCAGGATCCTTCCCTGTTTGAGTTTCTGTCCTGACTTCCTCAATGATGGACTACAATGTAGAAATATAAACCAAATCCTTTCCTTCCCAAGTTACTTTGGCCATTATGTTTCATCACGGCAAGAGTTACCCTAAGACAGATATCCTGTTTTACTTAGGTTGGATCTGAGCAGGGTCTACATGACTTCAGAGAATGCTCCTAACTGCTGGAGCCACAACCAAGAGCAGAAGGTGTGGCAGATTGGGACCACTACCTGTGAGGGATGAGCACGAGGCCATTGATACCAACTGTCTTAGTTAGGGTTTCTATTACCGGGAAGAGACCGTGAGCATGGCAGTTCTTACAAATAAAAACATTTAATTGGGGCGCCTGGCTTATATCATCATGGCCAGAGAGCATGGCAGCATGCAGGCAGACATGCTACTGGAGAAGCAACTGCGAGTCATGCATCTTTAAAAAAAAAACAAAATTATTATTTATGTATACAGTAATCTGGCTGCATGTATGCTTTCATGTTAGAAGAGGGCACCAGGTCTCATTATAGATGGTTGTGAGCCACCATGTGATTGCTGGGAATTGAACTCAAGACCTCTGGAAGAACAGCCAGTGTTCTCAATCTCTGAGCCATCTCTCCAGCCTGTGAGTTCTACATCTTGCAGGCAACAGGAAGTGGTTGTCTGAGACAATGGGTGATATCTTGAGCATATATGAGACCTCAAAGCCCTCCCCCACAGTACACACTTCCTCCAACAAGACCACGCTAACTCCAACAAAGTCACACCTCCTGATAGTGTTACCCCCTGTGAGCTTATGGGGGCCAATTGCATTCAAACGACCACACCAACTTACCAGAACATGCACTGGGTGCCGACCCTTCTGAAAGTCACAGGAGCTGGGCCGCAGAAGAGTAGGGTGGTGTCCCTGCCTCCCAGCCCAGAAATAACTAGTTGAAATCATATAGTTGCCATTTATTGACCACTTCCACATCAGGCTCTGTGGTAATATTTCCTGTGCATCTGTTTGTTTAACCCTCAGAACAGACCTTTGGGATGGAGGCAGTTGTTAGCATCCCATTTTTCAGATGAGGCGAGGAGGCACTGAGGATTTTTAGTTCTCGAGGTTAAAGTCGCATAACTTGTAAGAGGCAAGGCAAACCTCTGGATACACAAGTCATTGGTCCTTACAATGGAGATCTTTGCCAGCTGCTTAGATTCTTACTGGGAAGCCTCTCTACTCTCCTGAAGCATTCACAGCCCCACTTCCACCCAGGCTCCCGATTCCACCACCATCACCAAAGCCTGTGTTAGCCTGTGTCCGGCACAGAGCATTTATGAGCCCCTTACACATGGAGTATCTCCACGACTCCAGAGAGCCCTATGCCCTGGAGTAGAGGGAGCCTTTGGGCTCAGGGGAAATGCAGGCACATTGCAGTCTGGTGAAAGGATCAGCACTCAAGATGCTCAGTATTCTAGGCTCTCCCAAGATCAGCAGAAAATGCATGGAGCTTGCAGTCAGACCCAAAATTTTAAGTTGTCAAATTGAGCCTGGTGTATCGAATTTTTTCATTTTTCTGATTCTCATACAGAAAATCCTTAACTTGTTTGGTGAGGGAGCCTGTGTGTGACCAAATAAGAGAACTGTGTAAAGGGTGGGACTCACATCTACAAGTGAAAAGCATTTTCATGTTTGTGGGGCTGGGAAAGACTGAAGTTTTGAAAGAGGAGAGGAGTCAGGCAGGCATGGGCTCCAGCATTAGAGAATGACTTTCCCTCACTGTTGTCCCTATTCCCTGCTTAATGCCTCATGAAATATAGCATAGTCGCAAGGCTAGATGGGAAATATGTATCGGCGTAAATGAATGCAGACAGATTGAAAAAATATATACAGCTTTAATGGGGAAATAGACTTACTGAACCAGAGGTTCCCGCGGTGAACAGGAGAGCAGAAGGGGCGGCTGGGAGGGCTGGGAACACACCCGCCCACAGTCTTTATAAGTAAAAAATATCCTCGGGGGACTCCACCCCCAAGTAAAGTGATTGGCTGGGTCTCTCCTACAGAAATATACACGAGAATGGGTACAAAGACAAAGTGATTGATGTGCAGCTGAGTGGGCCACAAACAGAAAGGAGAATAAAATGGAGGCATAAAGGATGGGAGGGTAGGTGGATGGCTAAGAGGAAGGACGGAGGAAAGAATGGCTGGATGGAACAAGGATGGACATATAGCCAAAGGAGAGGAGGGGATTGGATGAATGGGTGGAGAGATGGTTAGATGATGAATCTGGAGGATGAGTGACAGGATGGTGACTGAATGGGAAAGCGTATAGGTGTGATAAGGGATAGAGAGAAAGGGGGGCTTTGACGCGCACACAGTGTACCCCACTAGAGCCCCACTGCATCTCACTAATGCTTTCCCATTCTCCAGGCCATCGGCTGGAGCATTACCTTGCTGTTGATAGTGGTGGCCTTCCTAGCCCGCTGCCTGAGACCCTGCTTCGACCAGACCGTCTTCCTACAGCGCAGATACTGGAGCAACTATGTGGACCTGGAACAGAAGCTTTTCGATGAGACGTGCTGTGAGCACGCGCGGGACTTCGCGCACCGCTGTGTATTGCACTTCTTCTCGAGCATGCAGAGCGAGTTGAGAGCTCTGGGGTTACGTCGGGAGCCAGCAGGTGGAATTCCAGAGTCACAGGAGCCCCCAGAGCCCGCAGAGGACCTGGATGGTGGAAGCGGGAAGGCTCACCTGCGTGCCATCTCCAGCCGGGAGCAGGTGGATCACCTCCTAAGTACCTGGTACTCCAGCAAGCCGCCACTTGACCTTACAGCATCCCCCAGGCTCTGGGGGCCTGGCCTCAATCACCGTGCTCCTGTAGCTGCTCCCGGTACCAAGCTGTGCCACCAGGTCGATGTGTAGGAATCTTGCCAGGCTCCAACAGAGGCAGTTTTCCCATGTCAAATCCCCATATTGATACGGGTATGGAAGCCAGCCTGCCCTGTAGACCTCCTTCCCAGAAAGCCCAGTATCTGCCTAGTTTCTAGGTATGTCCTCCTCTGTGGGACCAGTCCCTCTGGGCCTAATCAAGTTCAGATTCTGATTTAGCACACCCAGGACAGAGTCCTGAATCTATTTATCTATCTATCCTTCCTTCCTTCCTTCCTCCCTCCCTCCCTCCCTCCCTCTCTCTTTTCTTCCCTTTCTCCCTTCTCCTTTTCTTCTTTCCTTGCCCCCCCATTTCTTTTTGAGGAAGAGTTACACTTCAGCTGTCTAGCTGAAGCACTTGAACTCCAGGCATGGGCTGCATGGCTATCCTCCTGGCTCAGGTGCCTTTAGTGTTAGGGTTAGAGGCGTGAGCCATCATTCCCTTCTTTCCGGAGTCTCATCTATAACAAGCCCCAACAGCATGCCCTTTTTCTGGTCAGTGGACCAAACTTTGAGTAGTCACAGTCTGAATAAACCTATTGTAGATATGGATCATAGACATCAATTCCAAACTTTAAAAAATGATCGCGTGGTGTCACATGCCTGATATGTATTTGTTCAACCTTCATGTGACCTGATGAAGAAGGTATGATGATTAGCACCCCCTTTAAATTTAAATTACATTTATTTGTTTGCTTTATTGTGTGTGTGTGTGTGTGTGTGTGTGTGTGTGTGTGTAGAGAGAGAGAGATCAGAGGAGAGCTTGTAGGAGCCAGCTCTCTCCCTATCATGTCTGTCTCAGAGATCAAGCTCAGGCTTGTCAACAAAAGCCTTTACCTGCTGAGCCATCTCATTGTCCTTTCTCCTTCTTTGAAAAATTTATTTTATGTATGTGGGGAGAAGACGGGTATGTGCATGTGTGTGCTGTGCTGGTGCCCACAGAGGCCAGAGGTGCTGGATTCCCTGGTGCTGGAGTTACAGGCAGTTGTGAGCTGCCTGATATGGGTACTGGGAACCAAGCTTGGGTCCTCTGCAAGTACAATGTGGACTTTTAACCACTGATCCGTCTCTCCCGCCCCACCCCACCCCTTTTAAAGCCTTACTCTGTTGCCTTAGCTGGTTTGAAACTTGCAGGGATTGCAAGTGTGCCGGCACACCCCAGAGACAAAGGGTGCATGTGTGCATGCGTGTGCGTGCGTATGTGTGTGTGTGTGTGTGTATGTAACAGGGTCCCATGGAACTTAGCTGGTCTCCAACTTTCTGTCTAGCTGAAGATGATCTTGAACTCCTGAGCTTCCTGCCTCCACTTCCTGAGTTCTGGAAGGGTAGATGTGCACCGTGGGCCTGGTTTAAGCTGTGTTGGGGATGGCATTCAGATCTTGACGCGTGCTAAGCAAGCACCTTGTAAGCTAAGCTACATTATTAGGTCACAGTTTGAAGAAGAAAACTGAACCAAAAAGGTGTTGAAGTTGCCCAAGGTCACCAGAGTAGGAGTTGGTATCGACTCCTAGGACGCCGGGCTCTGGGTTCTCTTCTGAGCTCTGGCATCAGTTTACTCTCTAGGTCTGATTCGTTGTCTTTCAGTGCCCTTGTTGGGTTTCTTGCTGCTTCTACCAGGGTTCTCATAGCAGGTTCTAGCAAGTTCTGCTTGGTAAGTTCCTCGTGAAAGCCCTACGCACTGGCTCTTATTGGCTGCTCCAGAGAGTTTACTTTTCAGACTGGGGATATAGTTCAGTTGGTGAAATATTGGCCCAGCACAAGTGGGGGTTCAATCCTCAGCACTGTGTAAACTGGGCATGACATGCACTCTTCTACCTAATACTCAGAACGTGGAGGTAGGAACAGCAGATGTCTGAGGTCATCCTCAGATACAAAGTGAGTTCAAGGCCAGCCTGGGCTACATAAGACCATGCCTCCAAAATAAATAAATGAATAGATAGATAGATAGATAGATAAACAAATAAATAAATATAGGGCTGTTGGTGGAGTTTGCTAGTTCATTTCCTGACCACCCTGCCTAGAAATAATCACACAAAACTATGTTATTTGCAATACTGTTTTGCCAATAGCTTAAGCATATTTCTGGCTAACTCTTATATCAAATTAATCCATTTCTATTAATCTGTGTATCTCCGTGTGGCTGTGGCTTACTGGCAAGATTCTGGTGCATCTGTCTCCTGCTGGCAGCTACGTGGCTTCTCTCTGACTCTGCCTACTCTCTCTCTATATATGTATCTCTTCCAGCCTGGCTATATTCTGTTAAGCCATTGGCCAAAAGCAGCTTCTTTATTAACCAATGACAATAAAACATATTCCCAGCACCCATCACCTCCCACATCATCGGGCTGGTGAGTAGCTCTGAGAGTGCAGGCACCAGCTGCCACCCCTAAAGACCTGAACTCAGTCCCCAGAGCCCAGGCAATAGAAGCAGAGCAGCAGGTCTGGCAAGTAGTCCTCTGACCTCCATGTGCATTCTGGAACAATGAGTACGACAGCAGCTGTGCTTAAAAATAGCTTGTATTTTCCTGTGGAGTGAGGTTTTCTGTGAAGTCAAGAAGAGGTGACCTTCGTAGCTCTCAGGTCCCATCAGTTCTGTTTGTAGCTGGCCACAGCTCAGCCTGGTCCAGGCTCTTTTAAGCCCAGCCTTCACCATTTCTGCTGCTCGCCACATGAAGCAGGACTCAGCATCATTTCCTTCCCAGGCAGCCCCTTCCCCAGGGAGCCCGGGCATCCCCAGCCAGAGGTTGATATTCTGGTAAGGGTGTCTCTAGAATCAGGTGGGGTCTAGCTTAGGGACTGGTAGATCTGCCAGAAAAGTCACCACTTAGTCTCCGGAAGCCCAAACAGGAAGAGCTGGGGCAGCTCAAGCCTGTGAGCTCCACTGAGCCTCAGCCTGACCTGATGACTCACTTGTACCCAAATGCAAAGCCGGGCGTACTCCCATCTCTGCTGCTTCCTCAGGGCCCTGGACAGAGTGAAAGACCCTGGATGACCCCCTGGAACCTGGATCCCTCCATTCAACCATTTCTACTCCCCTAGGCTTTTGCTAAGGGACCTGGTGAGACCAGAAAATCCCTGCAGCTCAGCTTCCCCCGACTTCCTGACTGTGGTCAGGCCATGCAAATGTCTGCAGTAGCGTGGGGTGAGGGATATGATTTAGGCAAATTGTTAGCAGCGACTGTGAGAGAGAGAGGGAGAAAAGAACTCGGTGATAGCCCACGTGTGTGGGTGAGCTCGCACCCTGGGAAAGAAGGCTGGGAGAGGGCCGCCTTGGGCTCTCGGAGGAAGCAACATGAGGTTATTAAAAAAACATCAACGGTAATTCTCACTCCTTCCTTCTCACACTGAACATTTATGGGGCACCTCCTGCATGTGGTACTGTGACAAGAAACACTTTAAGGTGACCTCAGAGAGATCACTGTTTGCGGGACAGAGATGTCAATGATCTGAAGCAGACGGTGCAATGTAATAGAGACAAGCCATGTACCTGGAAGCCTTTCAGGGGACAATGACGCTCTAGACCGAGGGACTGTAGCAATATTGTGTGATTAGGTCTTAAGAAAGAGGACTTTTTTTGACATTTAGAAAGCAAAATGAAGAGGAAACAGCAGGCACAAAAATGGAATTGGCAGAAGTTGGAACCTGTTGCCTTTTCTCACGAGGCAACACTCATGGGGTGCTGGGGACCCAGAGTACAAGTACAAGAGGGACACTTTCCTCCCTTCCTGAATGTTCTGGACTGGAGTGGAAGGTAGGGACGTGATGAGTGAACTCACAGCCAAGCAGAGGGGCCCCAGTGCAGCCTGACAGGAATAAAGAACACTGGAAGTCCATCTAGTGATGGTCCTTGAGCCTTAGCCCAACAACACCTTCTCTGGCTCTTCTGCCTTACCATGAGAGGTATCTCTCACCCTCTTAGGCCCCAATAATACAGCTGCAGGCCCCAAACCTCTCTACCATCATCCACCCATACTCCCTTTCGCTCACAGCCTTGCCAGTGTGAGATGTCTCGAGCGACAGGTACCACCCAGCTAAGAATGAGGGACACAGGTAACAGATTCACCTGGCTCCTAAAGACCCTTCCTTTTAAGGAAAGTAGCTAGCTATCTTGGGGGCCCAGACACATTCCTCAAGTCTCAGCCAATCCTGGATTGCACCCTCCCTGTCCTTGTCCTGGACACAAGGGAGGAGTCACACTATCCAGTTGAGCAAGGTGGGTATCGCCAGTTTTGGCTGTGCACTTTTTCATCTTATGCCTCCTGGGCATTCAAAGCCCCCACATCTGCTCCCAGGAGGGGGACATGTGGGCATCTCCAGGGAGTACTTAATACTCCGTGCTATGTACAAGCAACTGAGGGAGCAAGGCGAGTGCTTAGTGACAAGATCAAGCAGGGGTGTGACTTGGGATTTGTCTAGGCAAAGGATGCTGAGGGCTACAGAAATGGATAGGATGGTTGAGAGGAAGGCTGGAGTGAGGCCAGGCAGCATTTAGGGTAAGGAAGAGGATCAGCTGAAGAGAGAAAAGAATAATCAAGAAGCAGCGAGCACAGCAACAGGCCAGGAAGGAAGGAGACTTCAAGGGGGGTTCTGGAGGAGTCACACAAATCCCCAAGCCACTAACTATCCCTTCCAGAACTATAAAGACAGGTGGAGACTTGGATCCTGTCCCAGTCTGTGGTACTGATAAAGGAATAGCCATTCGCATCTCTGTGTGGGGAAAGATTCTGGGACCGAGGAGCACAAGGGAAGCAGGGGAGTCAGATCCACACTAAATGCTTTGGGAAATCTCATAGAAGAGGAAGGCACTCTGCTGTGCACCCAGCTGCACCCAACCTCTCCCCTTCTTTGCCTCATGGTCTCTTTTAGAAGAGGTGAGAGTAAGGTTGGGGTGCAGGTCCCTGAAGGTCTAGGGAAAACAGGTGAGAAATAGTTTGGAGAGACAGGAGCTGGGGAATAATCCTTCTGTATGCTGTGAAAATGTGTTGCTCTCATTG